ATAGTTGAAAAGCAATAATACAAATTTTACACCAATAACGTTTTCCAGTCGTGAGAAAAAAAGTAATTTTTTTCTGCCTCCATTAAATTACTCCACTCTTTTGTGAATCCGATAAAGAAAGGTCTCACATTCTGAACTTATCAACTGCATCACCGATGTCGAGCACAAGTAAACGAATCCAAGTAGTCAAGTGCACTGAATGAATAACGACAGAATTTTATGAAACAACGAAACACGAAATGCACAACAAATTTTATTATATGAATATTTCATTATCATAAGCATTGGGGAAACGAGTATTCATTTGATGAGTTCAATAAAATCACACTTCAAATTGTACACGTAACAATGAATATCTTCAACCGGAAGGAACAAATCGATTAAAATCGAAGTGGCAAACGGCTAAAAGACTCAAAAATTTTATGATTCACTGAACATCATGCCTAATCATGCAATAAAATAAAGCATTAATGAACAACGAGTGATCAAATTCAGTTCATTGAGCTATAAATAACCAAATGAAAAAAATGTAAATATCGACGAATTTTCAAGAATTTCACAACTATGAATTCTCCTTAATATAAAATAACTCATAAAATGTGTACACAACCACAATTTCTTTCAAGAACAGATTCTAATATTTAGTTTACAATGACCATTCTTTCGGAGCGAATATATTCATGGAATGAAGTATAAGGAATAAAATACTAAAACATTTAAACTACTTCGAAGCAACGAACAAAATCATCATCACAAAAGAATAATGCTTAACAACGATATAATAACGAAGGGATTTGCAGAAANTTCACATACAGAAATATACTCTCACCAGATTCGATCTGAATCAAAAGTTTATTATTAATCATTTTGAAACGAATTCAACGAAGTAATCAGTGAAGCAAATAAATCAATGCGAGACTGTACAGGTTCAATACAGTGGATGAAAAGAAAAGCTTGAGTCAATTTAAAATGAAACCTTGAGATATTGTTGAATGAATGCAGTTAATTCAGCGATTGTTTTCTTGGAATCAACTTTCCATTTACCTTGCTTCATTATTGGTGCATCACCAACTGCTTTTAGCAGTAACTCGACTTTGCCATCACCCATCTAAAATGGCTGTTATTAAAATCAACATAACACGACAGATTATAGAGAAGTTTGAAACGGTATAATACCAGGTCATTGTAGTGATTTTCAGGTGACACATTTCCAAATAACTGCAGAACCAAAAAAAACTCAGACCAATTAGAGCTATCATAATACGTATTTTCAGATTCAAAATTGAGAGAAGGTCCTTTGGCGCGTTGGAAAAATTTGGTTGAAATCAATTCAATAAAACACGAACCTCTGAACGAAATCAA